TGCTTTTAATTATGTTAAATTCTATTATTAGGTACATGCACACTTAGGATTATTATGTTCTCATGGTGAATTGACCATTTTATCTTTAAATCATGCTTCTCTATTCATGGTAATACTCTCTATGGCGAAGTCTACTTTATTTTCTATTAATATAATTACTCAAACTTTATTTTTTTACATGATATATCTTGTTTTCATTCTTTTATTTTTATCTTATTTATGTCCACAGTGGGCTTTTTGTGGACAGAATACAGTTGTATTTTAAAAACATAAATAATATGACAAGCTCTGCTTTTTAGTTGTAGTTTTTAAAACTAATATAATATCATAATATAATTATGAGTTTAAATCCATCATCTGAGCACTAATTTTCCATTTGTCCCATTGTTTTTTGTCCTTTCCTCCTTATTGATCAACTTTTTATGATTCCCTTTAATCTTCACTAGTGGCTTACTAATTAAACTTTTGTTTTATTTGTTTAGTGGTTTACAATATGCATCTTCAAAGTACCACAATCTACCTTTCAACCAAATACCACTTAGATTACATAGATTATAAGAATTATATAACAATGCACCTCCAGTTCTTCCTTTCCCTTACTGTGTTTTTGCTGTCGTACACTCTGTGATCACTATTTTTTGCTTTAGATAACCAGTGATCTTTTAAAGAGATTTTAAAAAATATCTTTTCCCATAACTATAACTATATAAAATATATTTACTTATTATTTTTACCATTTCTGCCCCTGTTCATTTCTTTATGTAGATTCAAAATTTTATCAGCAGCAGGGGCTTTCTCGGGCTTCCTGCTCTGGCCCAGTTCTTTCTGAACACCTGACGGAGGTCTGTGGCAAGCGTGTGTGGATTCCCCTTGTGTCTAGAGCTTTCTTCTGTTAAACAGTTGTTGTAGCCCACTGTTGACCTTTGGTAAATTTTTTGTGTTCTTCTTACTTTAATTTTTATTGGTCACCTGTTTCTTTTATGCTCTGCCAAAGTAAAGGTAGTTCATGAGTCCTGTGTCTCTTCAGAATGATTTTGGAATTCAGTTGATTGTCTTGTAATCTTAGCTTTTAGATAGACTCACAAATTGTTGAAGTTTTTGTAGATTATCTCCCCCCCCCCCCCCGCCCCTAATTTTTAGGGTAGGAATGGCATTCTCCTATGGATTTCTATATCCTAAACCTAAACAGAAACAGAACCTGAAATATGTAAAGTAACTATAAAGTTCAAAGTTCAAAATAGCCAGGTCTTTCTTTCTTCATGCAATCAAGTCAGTTTAACAAAAATATTTCCTAGCTGTTCCAGATAACAAGAACACAGTAGCTATTATGAACAGAATGGGATGTAAATTCGGAAATTTGTTGCTAAAATCATTGAGAGGGTTGGAGAAGTAGGCCCCAGGCTAGGTTTCAAAACAATCGCACAGAAATGGCCCAGCGGGTGAGCTCCTACCTCTGCCCCATATAGAAACTGGGAAGCTGCTGGGTTAACTTCTGCTCCAGGATCACACTACTTCACCTTGATGTTGGGATCAGGAAAGCACTAGCAGAGCTTTGGGCTCTAGAACCATTTTGTGCTTCTTCGATGCAGCAGAATACTAGTAATTGCCTGGTGCACCATCCTCTCCTAACCCTGCTTACTTCACTTTGGAATTTGGGTCTTATACACATACAGTACATCTGATTGGAAGAAATAAATCACAAGGGAGGCTTGGAAATATGTTTGGATTTCTGATCTTTACATTATAGGAAAGTGAAGCTACAAGGAAGTTGGAAAGGATACTGAACAAACTGTAATTGGAAATGACAGAATCCATTTGAGTGAGCTAGTTTAAGGAGAAAGAAATTTATTATAGGGTGTTAGAAGGCTTACAAAACCTCTAGGACAGTGGTTCTCAACCTGTGGGTCGCGACCCCTTTGGGAGTTGAACGACCCTTTCACAGGGGTCGCCTAAGACCATCGGAAAACACACATATAATTACATATTGTTTTTGTGATTAATCACTGTGCTTTAATTATGTTCAATTTGTAACAATAAAAATACATCCTGCATATCAGATATTTACATTATGATCCTTAACAGTAGCAAAATTACAGTTATGAAGTAGCAATGAAAATAATTTTATGGTTGGGGGTCACCACAACATGAGGAACTGTATTAAAGGGTCGCAGCATTAGGAAGGTTGAGAACCACTGCTCTAGGAGTTTCCAGGGATTCAAGTTTAGATGTTTCACAGCCAGGACTTGTGAAGCCAAGAGCACCCCACAATGGCAGTGTTCTAACAGGAACCTCACTACAAAGACTGCTGCCTCTGCCACCAGTCTTGCCCAATCTCTGCTTCCACTTTGATCCTGTCAATAAATGCCACATCTCTCTAGGGTCTATTCTTCAAGCACTTCACTTCTTACCAATTTTTGTATTAGAGTGCTTTTGATTATGGGTGAGGGAAACTCATCCTCACCTAGTTTAGAATAAAGAATAAAGGTATGGGTTATATTAGAGTTCTTAGTTGCTAAGTTCAGAATTCACTATATCTAATATCAGCAGAAAGGAATGTAGGATAGTAAGCTCTCATAGAATCTCTGGAGGACTGTAGAACCAGGCTTGGATGCTATACTTTTCAGGAACATTGGAAACACTGCTGCTTGGCACCCAGGATTTCAAGCTTCAATTGAGAAAGGTCAACAGAGATGGCCCAGAAGAACATGATATCTCAACCATTGTTCTTGCCAAACTATCCAATCTCCCTGCATGCAGCCTCATTTTGATGTTGCTCACTTCTGTATCTAAATGTCATTCAGGTTTGTCAGTTTGGCTAACATGGCCTATTCGTCTGCACCTTTGTTCAAGGGTATCTGGGGAAAATACAGTTTAGGGTTTCAAGGAAAATGAGCTAGACGTGGCTTGGAAGTGGATGTATAGTATCTGCCACCTTTGACTAATCATTCATACTTGCTTTCTGTACCTGCTTCCTTCCATATATCAACTTTTAAACAGTAGTAATTATTCCTGAATCATTGGAAAATGTACCATTTCTTCAAATGGAGAGGCACAAATTTACTGTCATAGCATCTCTGGTTGATGTTTAGTTTTCTCTGATTTTAGTCACAACCCAGCTTGTAGCTTCTACATTAAATTATAATGGTAAAATCATCAACAACAGACCTTATAAAAAATAGAAAGGGAATTGGGGTGTAGGAGGGAAATAATTATACCAAGCAAGGAGGGAAATATGGATGACTTCTTTAGTCTTCTTTTTCTCTGTTTTTGAAACTCATTCTGAGGACTTCATTGGCATTCAAAATCGACTCCCCTCACTCTTCTTTTCCCCTCAGTACTTTTAATAATCACAGTTCTTAATCTGGTAGGGTGACCCAAACTTCATTTTTGAGGGTTCTGGGCCCTGGTTAGAAGCAGTATTTTATGGGAATAAGTCTTTCATAAGTCTGTGGGTGGTTTGCTAGCTAATGCATTATAGGCAGAAAAGGCAAATCATATTTAGAATAATAATCTGTTCAATGAGAACAGATGGCTGCTATTCTATGATGCTGAGAGTTTAATGTAACTGACATGTTACCAGGAATGGGAGGCCCAGTGTACTCCGTTCCTTGCAGATTGGACACCTGGAGTAATTGGATCAGATTTGGTGAGAGGACATCCCGTGTAGCACCCATGTGTAATCTTTGTCTCCTTGCCTCTGTGTCCACTTGTTTTTGTATCCTTTGAGTATTGGTGTGGTTAGGAAAAGAGTCTGGTTGATCATCATAGAGGAGATAACTTTATCCACCTGATATTAATGAGAATTTTTCTGCAAAGGGAACTTATGAGTAAGCATGAGGACACAAATATCCTCACACTCAGGTCTGTCCCATAAACCTCTTTTCTAAGCCTTATTGTTAACAATATTCTAATCTGATTTCTTTCAAGTCTCTGATCATTGTAACAAGTGAATAACCACTGCCCACAAATGGGTATGGATTAGTAATTCTGGCCATCTCTCCTTCAACTCAAAGTAGAAAACCAGATGTTTACTCTAATATTCCACCCTCCAAAAAGATCTACCTTCTTTACTGTGCTTTAGAGCCACTCCTGCTTGGGACTGAAATGCAGGAGTAGGCTAGTTCTACTTGTTGCCAGTATATCGTGCAAAGCCATCTGCCACAGTCAGATTTCTTTCCTCTTAAATTGACATGTCCTAGGAACTCCCATGAAGCCATAGGTGAGAGTTGAGGAAGAAATGATACTGCATTAGGAGTAGACACACTAGGGCCTGTTTCTCGTGTTCATGACCTCCTCTTCTTTATAAGGGAGTGGTGGTGCTGAACATGCCTGATTAGGATTTCATGGCTTACCGTTAGGTAAAGTCTGGCTCATGATGAGCTCAGGTTACATGGTCCCTTGATTTCCAGGTCTCCAGGTAATTGTATGTCAGGGGGTGATTTCTCAAAAGAATAATAATTAGCAGATGAAGAGTTTTTAGCTTGCGTAAAACCTTAGGGGACTCTGCCAATAACTGTTATACGGTCTCACCCTATTTGGTCATGTCATAAGCTCCTTAAACCATCCCTCAGACCCTTTCAGATCCATTAGATTGCTGGTTGCATTGGAGAAAACTGCTTTAGTTGTAATGCAAATGCCAGTGACTGAGCAGAGTTGGTCCTGCAAGGAGACCATATTTGTAATTACTGTTGTAATTGCCACCCAATTAAACTGAAAATAAGTTCCTTTCCCTAAACTCCATCTGTTTTTACTTCAGATCAGATAGGTGAATTAAGTGCAGGTGACAGGAATGGCAAAGATGTTTTACTAGTACACGTGGGACACAAGCTGCAGTGCTGTCTGGGAAGTACTATTATTTTTTCTTTGACTAAATAATTTTTTCCTTTTCAGTTACAGTTGACATACAATATTATGTTGGTTTCAGGTATACAACCCAGTAATTAGACATTATATAACTCACTGAGTTTAGGAAGTACTGTTTTAATTCTCTTACCCGATAGTGCATTAGGGACAGCAAGATGGGAGTCAGAGGGAGTGCTGAGTCACCTATCTGTAAAAGTCTGCTGCTACAGTTAAAAGTTGTGAGTGTTATCAGTCATTTTGTTTGAAATTTGATCTGCCCTGATTTGCATATTGAATGACTAACAAATCTCCCTTTACAAAAGGACATATTGAATATATTCTTTGGTTGTGCGTCTCTGTGTGGGAGCTCATGTGACTATTTTTGAATAATGAAAAATATCAAAGACAAGCTTTCTGTTTTTCTAGTATGAACCACACTATGCTATGTTTTTCTTCTGAGATTTGTTTTAATTTATTTTACAACAAAAATAAGTCAAAATAGAGCAGTTTTTTAAAGGATGGGAAGTATGTCAGAGACCACACGCCACCCAATGGTAGTTTAAGTAACTGGAAGTTTAAGTAACTGGCTAGATCTATTTCAATATCATTTCTAAAATTTGTATTCCTGGGTAAGTCATAAAATGGTATCAGTCATAAAGTTTATAATTTTTAGCAAAACGGGAAGTAGAAAGGAAATGTGTTATATTAGTCCTAACTGAATATAACTTGTTTGGGATACCCTTTGCTAAGAATTAATTTCAGTTTTCATAAACTGGATGAATCTTCTATCTGGATATTTGTCTCATTATTTTAAAGTAGTAGTTTTAAAGGAAAGCAGTTGCTATAGTAGCTTGTTTTTATTGTCATGCTAAATATATTTTCAGCTCCCTTGGAAATCATTGACTAGCATCATTGAATATTATTACATGTGGAAAACTACTGACAGATACGTGCAGCAGGTAATTTTTTTTATATCACTACCAATATGATTGCATTAAAGTGAACTTTCTGTTTACATTTTAATATTTCTTAGCAATATACTTAATTTAAAATTTGTCTTGTTTGCTTTATCTTTTCTAGACTATTTTAAACTGCATGATTTCATATCCTTAAGATATTATTTTAAGATTTTAGTCTTAATATATTTTTTTTTACTTCAGAATTTATTATGATAGCTATTTTGGAAGGACAACAGGGAAGGTACCGCTAGAGAGGCAGTGTTTTCCTTGCAGGTGCCTGGTGCCTCATCTCTTTGTGAGTATACTTGGAGGGAATGCCCTAAGATGTGATGTTAGCGCACACCTTTTGAGCAACTTATTTTTACATATTGAAAATTTAGACCAATGCCATTTGTGTGGATATATCTCCTAAATCTTTTATCTTAACTGTAAAGTTAGTCTTACTAGTTTGATGCCTTGGTGTACTGTACATAAATTTTTATCCGAAGTTATTTCTAGAAGCAGGGAATGATTTGTTTCTGACTCCTTCCCACATGTCCCAAATTGAGGTAACTCTCTCCGTTACTTATTTCGAGCACTATTTCCTGGGAAAAGGCACATTTTCCCGAAGTGACCCCAGTCAGTACTTGTTTTTATATTCTTCTAGTCTCATGTCAGAACTGGTAAGGAAAGGGGCAAATATATTTAACATAGACATTATTTTTCCTAAGTATGTGATTGCACAGTGGCAAGTGTTGGATGCTATAAAAATACATTTTAAGGATCACTTTAAAAATTGCCATAGTAAGTTGTTGAGATCATGAATAGTGAATAGCCAGCCACCCATGGCTTATTGAAACATTTCCAGAATCAACATCATGTATAATTTAAAAAGTGCTTATTTGAAACAATTTAGGTAGATAGAAATGAAGACCAGGTGTTCTGAAAACTGTTTCTCAAAGCGGAAAGAGTCCCCAAAGATGGTGGAGATGATCGCTCAAGGATGGTTGAAAATATTTGGATAAAATTCTTTTCAGAAATTTCAACTCCGTCCCTAAAAGTTTTAAGTTGTCCCCCTAAATGTTTTTGTTTACTTCTCATTGAGAAAATGAGAAATAATTTGGTTTATCTTATTTTTTATATCTACCATATATTATTTTCCTTCCCTATTTGCATTCATGTTGTGTTGATCAGTTTCTGGATTTGACTACATAATCTTTTTCCCATTCCTTTTCCTGCATTTGGCTCCTAATTGGTTCCTAAAATCTGATGTGAGTTCAGCCAAGCTATAAAGTATACTGCATACCTCCCAACATTTGAGGGTAAATGCTTATTTAATTGTACTTAGAATAGTTACTATCTCTTTCTTTTGCATGGACTTTGAAAACTAATCACCTCTGAATATTTTTCTAAAAGTAAAGATGATGTGTGTTTTTTTCTCCCAGAAAACCAAAAGAAGAAATACGGTAGAAAATAAATTTGAAAAGTAAAAACGGTTACTTACAAGTCCTGTTTTTTCACTCATGTGGGGGACGGAGTTGTTCATTGCTTTACTTTTAAAATCTATGTCTAAAACGTTATTAATACTTACAGTTCTGTTTCTCAGAATCTAGTGACTTTTCTTAGAAATTACTGCAGCTTATATGCACATTTTAAAATGGCAACTTTTGAATTATGCTTTAAATTCATTTTCTTGTGGATTTTTTAAAACAATGAAGTGGTAATAGTTGCTAAGCATTGTATGTAAAATATTTTATGTATCTTTTGAATTAGAAACGTCTAAAAGCAGCAGAAGCAGAGAGTAAACTGAAACAAGTGTATATCCCAACTTAGTAAGTAATGGAAATCTTTTAAAATATTTGTCATGGTATTAATTCTATCAAAACAAAATATGTCATTTTGGTCAGTTCTAGTCAAATTTGAATTCATTGTGTATCTTATTTTCTTCCACTACAAAGCATGAGACTTGCTTCCCATTATATCACTATAATAATATTTTTAGAGAGAAAAAATGGCTGGTAGGAAAAACACCATGTAGACAACAAAAGGACTAGAGAAAGAATGTCCCTAAATTGTACTTCTGTCACAGCTGCGGGGAAAGTGTTAGGCAACTAACCTATGAAACTGTTGTTTGAAGCAAATATATTTCAGAAAGCTACCAACTCATGAAACTTGTATGTGGTAGAATGGAATTTTTTGGTTAATGCACATTGCCCTTTTGAGGCATGTTTATCTAGTTGATAATTTTATATTATTTGCTTAGGGCTAGGGTTAGGGAAAGTAACTGGAATCATACTTTGTATATGTTGGATAAATAGTGAATAACTTTTTATTGGCCTAGCATTCTATCATTGTTTTCCTTTGGAGTTAGAAAACATTGTTATATCAACATGGATGCCAATATTCTTTTCATATGCTATGTTTTAAATGAATTATAATCTTTTTCTTGAGATCTTTGGATTTCAATCATTCATTTGTTCAGAAAAATTCAGTTTATTGAGCACCACATATATAGTGCTATCCTAAGTTCTTTGGGGATAAAATGAAATTTACTACAAAGTTCTATGTACTGCTCCAAGATTTTTCTTACTCTGTGAGCTCAGTACAGTTGCCTTTATACTTAGCCTTTTGTTTACTGAATTTTGATACATTAAGACAGTTTTATATACTAGTATAAGAGGCCTCATAGGAAATGAATTGTAGTATTTCTTACTAATCTTTTTTTTAAAAATCCTCACCCAAGGGTATGCCTTTATTGATATTTGAGACAGAAGCCAGGGTGTGGTTGGGTGGAGACACACACATGCACACACACAGTGATGTGAAAGAGGAGATCGAACCTACAACCCGGGTATGTGCCCTGACTGAGAATCAAACCCATAACCTTCTGGTGTAGGGACAACACTCCAAACCACTGAGCTACACTGGCCAGGCATCTTACTAATCTTTTATCTCAAGACAGATAATATGTAATTTATGTGGCCCATAATTTGTATTCAGAGATATAATGTCCCTTCTGCAGAGTGGTTTCTAATATTTTTAAATTTTATATAGTTTGAGTTATTTACAAAAGAATAACTCCCCAAAGGAAATCTGTTGTGATTCATCTGTCTCAGATTTTCAAAAGCAGGCATACCAGCTTTCTTGAACTTTACAATGTTTGTTATATCAAAGGAAAAGGGCATTCACCAACCTAAGAAACTGTGGTGGAGAACCAGGTTAGGTCTAGGTCATTTTGAGTTTGTTGTGTCCACAGAGGTGTTGAATATATTGTTGGATATATTGGAGGGGAAAGTTCTGGGCTAGAGATACAAATTTGAGCTTCATCAGCATATATCATTGTGTTTAAAACTATGTATGAGATTTCATAGGAGAATCAATAAGAAAAAAATTGCCTTGGACCAAGCTTGAGGAAATCCAGTATTTATATGTCAGATACAGATAGAGAATGAAAGCTAAAAAAGAATAGCAAGGTGAGTGCATTATTATCATTAAAGCTGAGAGAGGAGTGGGTTTCAAGGAGGGAAAGAGATCATCAGTGTCAGATGCTGATGAGAAATAGCCAGGGAACTTAGCATCACAGAAGTTATCGGTGATCTTTAATGCTGTGGTGAGGACTCGGTGCTGCAGACACAGAAGATGGCAGCTCTCAAGAAACCTGACTGCAAAGGGCAGTCGAGAGAAAGTTCTCAGCTTTGGGGAGTAGGTTGGGATAGAGAAATGGGAGAGTTTTTAAAATAGGAGAAATATATAACATGTTAATGAGAGGGTCCAGGAAGGAGAATGAAGGGAACAAAGTTCTCAAGAGGGTGGAGGGGTAGAATCTGGAGCACTGATGGGGGAGGAAAGGTTTGGGCATCAGGTAAAAGGACAGTTTCATATATTGTGACTTTAAAACATCTTTCATGTTTTTCTTAGAGTAAAAGTTTATTTGGATGGTCACATTGACCTCAGTCATTTGTGCCCTGAATTAACCTGCAGGTACTTGGTTTTGCAAAACATAGTTTAAGTGATTCACATGTTTAAGTATATTCAGCCTTTGAACACTTGTTTTCCTTTTGTAATTATTATTATATTAAGGTCAGTAGTTTATTCAGTCAAATAACGTTCTAGATTCAGGTGAAGAACTAAAGTTGTATGTACTCTTGTTCTTTTTTTCAGGCAGTTCAACTGTAAATTTATATTAGCTCTTTTTCAACACATATATTTTAGCCAGGGTTAAATATCAGAAATTTTCATATTTTGGGGAAGTCATTTAATTTCAAGGGGCCATCATGTCTATTAGCTATAATAGATTTTTAAAAATCAGAAATATTATATCTCTTGGACCTCTTAATCATTCTAAATTACCACTTTTCATTTTGTACATTTCCACATGAAAACTATAAGAAGAGAAATACATTCTTTCTGGCTTAAAATGTGTTTTTTAAAACCAATTTGTCTTCCAAACACATTGCTGGCACAGGTTAAAGTGTAAATAATAGCCCTGTATATGGAATGGGGACTTCAGAGCACTCAGAGGTCCAATGATTTCATCTGGGGGTGGTGATGGGTGTCACCAAGAGTTACAGTAACAATGCCAGGAAGAAATCTTAATTTGCTGTCAGGCCAAGTTTACATACTAGGCTTTTGCTGGTAATTGGAACTATGGGAATGAAAAACAGCAAAGAGGAAACTCCTGAACCAACTCTGTGTGGAAACGCCAAGTGTCTTGATAGTTGTGACCACTCGTTACTCTAGTAATCATGGAAGATATAGTCATTCAGCATTTATTTCTCCCAAATAGATGTGAAAGTTCCTTGAAGTCAGGTACTGAATAAATACATGTTAAGTGAATTATGAGTTTATTGAGGACATACTGTATATACCTGTGCAGTATCTTCGGTCATGGTTTATAAGCTGGGGAGTTAGCCTACCCTAGATGGGGATAAGTTAGCCATGTTTGCACAGCAAGTAGAAGGTAATCTGGGGTACATGTTTCTGGGGAATTACAGCCTCTGGGAAATGTGCACGTACACTTCTGATGATGTCACTCTTTTCCTCCTAAAATTTTTTCTTGAAGAGAAAAACCTCTACTTTCCAATGCAATTATGTAATCTTCATAAAAGTTCAAACATAATAGAAATTACTACCATGAACAAAGTCTCCTGAAATGCTGACTTAACTCTGGATATGCCCCATTGACAGCCAGTGTTTGTGTTGATCATGGTCTTTTGTAAGTTCCCTCAGGAGTCAGCAGAACCAGGACAGTGCCTTCCTCTGAACACAGCACATCGCCTTCGGCTTCATTTTTATGATTCATAAAAGTATTTTATGTTCTCAGGAGAATTTGTGATAGCTAATACAGCGTAATAACTTGTATTTTTCAAAATAATCAGAGGGTGTCCTACGGAAATTGTATTTGTGTGGAGAAGAGAGATGGCTGTATTTATTTTGTGAGTGTCAGGCATAAGAGATCGGTTTGTACATAACCTTGTTTTGTAAAGATGAATGGTTTGGGTTCACTTTTACCAGTGTATTTCTTCTTCACCAAGCATTCAAATTTATTTATGTGTAATTCAGATAAATCAGTAATGAAGTGTAGAGCCTTTGCCTTATTTGTACAAGTCATTTTTATGACCTTACTTTACATTTCATTGGAAGCAGCAAACCGAATCCCAACCAAATATCCACCAGCAATGGCAAACCTGGTACTGTGAATGGGGCCGTGGGAACCACATTCCAGCCGCAGAATCCCCTCTTAGGGCGAGCCTGTGAGAGCTGCTACGGTAAGTTTTCTCCAGCGGGGCTTTCTTTTCTCATTTGAGGCCTGTCTCTGAAGTGCGTGGAACTGTGCTGGCACTGTGGGAGGAAGGTACATGAGGTCAGTACTGCGCAGAGGGCAGAATAATGCAGCCTTAGAGTGAATAGATGCCCATCCTTCCTTACCTTCCGCCTGGACACTGAGTATTTAAGTCTTGGGTTTCCTTTGATTTGCTTTTGTGGGGTCCTGTGTTTGTTGATACAGCATTGTTAGCTGAGTTGGATTCAGAGCTGTTACTAGCTTGGTGCAAACCATGGTCCCATGAAATATTCCAAATCCCCTTTTGGAGTTTTTCAGTATACTTTGACAAATTAAAGGCTCCAAATAATTCTGTAGGAAACACCTGTGTGGGGGTAAACTGCTGCTTATTTATAGTCCTCAGACCAGATTCCCTCAGAGCACTGGTTTGGGAGATGCAGTTCTATGATATTTGTTTTTGGTCTCAGGATCCCAATTTATTCATTCCTGTCAAAAATCTCTACCAGAGGCTGGTAGTATTATATTTATTGGGTTGGTGAGATGAATTGTTACATAGTTGATATACTTTTTATGTTTATTTAAAATCTCATACAACAATATCATCTCTTAATGGAGTATCGGTGACATTATCATCTATGTTTTCTACCAACCAGAGTATGCTTGGGTGGGAGACGGAAGAAAAGGAATATTTATGAAAAGTCCACTTGGTCCCTAGTTTTTGTCTCTCAGCAGCTCTTTGAGGGTAGATGCAGCCGGCTGCCCTAAGGACATACGAATGAGGGCGTTTCAGCATTAAAAAGGCTCTTAAAACCAAATCATAAAATTTCTCTTCTGAAACCAAGGAAGGTGTGAGCCAGACAAATTGTGACTTCATAGAAATGGTACATATCTACCCATTTTCTACACCATGGGAGCACAAGGGGAAACAGTTTGTGGAAAATTAGCTTCTTTTGGTCAAGATTTTACATGAACTGCATCACAAATGCTTTTGAATTGGGAATTCTTAGATTTCGAAGTACATTTATATTTAAATAAAATTTTAAAAAAAGAATCCTGGAGATAAATGGTAGTGACTTAATCTGTCTTTTATTTATAACCCCTTTAGAAATAAATAATCTCACATATACCTTTAAATAATTATTCTGTCATTTTTCTGTGTGCATGACAAATAAGCACTCTTAATTTTATAATATTTATTTTTGGTTCATATTTTAAAATAATTTCTATCAAAATAATATGTTTATAAGATTTATCATTGTAGAAAAATTGCTCTTTTCTATTTGTCATTTTTCAATTGAACATGAATTAATTATGTGTGGAGAAAAGCATTTGTTGACAAATATTAAATGACATGTCTTAGTTTGGGTAAAAATTTTGTTTTCAGAATCTAAAATAAGTCCATGCCTAATATGTAAAATTCTTATCATTTGTGTTTGTAAAAAATCAACTTATGATTTGTTTTTAAATTTTAAGAGCAAGATTTTGGGGCTGCTGCTTGCAAGGAGTCCTCCAAAAGTAATACATGACGAGGTGCACAGTATAATTCTCAATGAACTAAAAAGGCAATTTGATTATAACGACCACCATATCTTCTTTTTTTGACATTGGCTGTGAAGTGTTAGCTGACTCCTGACTGTGCTGCTTGAACACTATGTGCTATAGATCGGGAGGAATATTCCAACGCAAACTTACAGAATTATAATAATGATTTTTATGCACCTCATTAACTTAAATGTGTCAGTGTCAATGTTTTCAAACTTCAGATGGGGATACTTTGAAGGTTATATGGCAGCAATTTAAACTGCAGAATAAGACTAACACAGGCTTGCAGTGTTTAGCTATGTGGTAAATCAACCAAGTTACTAGGTCTTAAGCATGCTGTGATGTTGGCCACATATGCTCACTGAATATATACTTACAGTCTTGAAGGAATTTGTTTTTTAAAGGAAGAAATTTAAAATAATTATTTTATCTATTGATTAAGGAATGAAAACAGATACCTGCTTCTGTCACATTCCTACCTCTGTCAGTGGGGCCCCTCTGAGTACCTTAACCGAACTATAGGTTTGGAAAACTGGCTTTAAACTTTTAAACACTAATAGCAGTGACAATTTTCTGATAGCTTATTTCCAGAAATGTACACAATAGAAAATATTTGTAATTAACAGAAACTCCCCCAGCAGCACAACATACTATGTAGGATACGTCATCTAATAGCTTCTCTTAGACAGATGCCACAGGCACTTGGTGTATATATATATACATATATATGAAGTTTTTAATGAATTCTGAGTCTTGAAAACTATATGTATACTAGAAGCCTGGTGCACGAAATTTGTGCACTCGGGCGGAGGTGGGGGGTGTCCCTCAGCCTAGCCTGCGTCCTCTCGCAGTCCAGGAGCCCTTGGAGGATGTCCGGCTGATAGCTTAGGTCCGCAGTTGGACATCCTTAGCACTGCAGTGGAGGCGGGACCCGCCACCGCCGTTGCACTTGCCAGCCGTGAGCCCAGCTTCTGGCTGAGCGGTGCTCCCACTGTGGGAGCACACTGACCACCAGGGGGCAGCTCCTGCATTGAGCATCTGCCCCCTCGTGGTCAGTGTGCATCATAGCAACTGGTCATTCCACCGGTCGATTTGCATATTAGCCTTTTATTATATAGAATATTAGGCTTTCATATATGGTTTGTAAGTTGGGGGAAGAAAAATAACGTAAACGGAAAGTGGCTTTGGAATATTTTTTGAAATGTTTGATTATATATTGATGTTACAAATTCTATAGCATCTTTGTTTTTCTTTTTCCTCCATCTTTAGCTACACAGTCTCATCAGTGGTATTCTTGGGGTCCACCTAATATGCAGTGTAGATTATGTGCAACCTGTTGGCTCTATTGGAAAAAATATGGCGGCCTGAAAATGCCCACTCAGTCAGAAGAAGAGAAGTTATCTCCCAGCCCACCTACAGAGGTACATGAGCAATATTCCTTATAGCCTTGAGGATGGTCATATTTTTCAATGGCTGGATCAGTCCTTGAAAACAGAAGTACAGTGTTAGGTGATTTAAAAGCAAACAAAGCTATTTTTATAGCTAAACATAGCACCATAATATTCAGGGTGAGGGTGGAGAGAAGGGCAGGGACAAATCCAATCTTCACAGGTATTCAGTATTTGTTTTGTGAGAAGATTACTGAGGCAAAAGAACAATGTGTGTGGGAGGCCTTAGCATAAGTAGAAAGCTTACTGATTAAATGTTTGTTTTAATTGCTTTTTTGGGAAAACAGTTTGCAGCCTTTAGATACTATTGAAATTGTATCTTATTACATAAAATAACAACTTGAACACTTTTTCCCCACTCCTTGGCTATCATAGGAGGCACAAGAACGTGTGGACTTAATCTTGAGGTGAACAACAGTTGAAATAGAATTTTGGAAAAATTCTCATAGCAGATATCAAACACCCTGGTTTACTAGAGGGAGACTATTATATTTGAGGACTAACAGGATCTTGGAGTCCTTTAATATTTTTTTAAACAACACTCAAAATAATCTAATCCCTTGGCATATTTTTAAAAACTTATTATGAATATAGTTTGGGGTTGTTAGGGTTAATTTAAAAACACATACATACTCCCCCACCCCAAACCCAGTTTTCTTCTCTACTTCCCCACCTTCTTTCCAAAAGTACAAACTTTTTAATTTTGTCCTTTGGAGTAGGGCGGTGGTCGGCAAACTGCGGCTCGCGAACCACATGCGGCTCTTTGGCCCCTTGAGTGTGGCTCTTCCACAGAATACCACGTGCGGGTGCACTCGTACAGTGCGATTGGAACTTCGTGGCCCATGCGCAGAAGTCGGTTTTCAGCCTGGGCGAGTCTATTTTGAAGAAGTGGCGTTAGAAGAAGTGGCGGGGGTCGGGCGGTCAGGCGACGGGAGACGCAGCGCAGGGAAGGCGTGGGCGATTCATGCATGAGTTGAGTGAGCCAATCAGTCAGCAGTCTCATTGTTCAGTGGTTAGTGCTAGTCATGTCCGCAAATCACGCGCAGGTGACAAAAGATAGAGGAAATAAGTATACAAGACGAGTGTGGATGGGAGAGTTGGAAGGGGTCGACCTCAGCGAACGTACCTCAATCAGATTGAGGACATTTTTAGCAAAGGCCAGCTTAGGAGTACCCTAATTAAGTTAATAACAATGTACCTACCTATATAGTTTAAGTTTAAAAAATTTGGCTCTCAAAAGAAATTTCAATCGTCGTACTGTTGATATTTGACTCTGTTGACTAATGAGTTTGCCGACCACTGGGGTAGGCTAGTGAGTTATAGATGCTGCAGTGGGAGACTTAAAAACTGCACTGTTGCTTGAGCATGATGCCAGTAGTACTGCACTTTAACCCTCCCTGTTCTTACCTGTGTGTCGGTGTCTGCTTCTACAGGACCCCCGTGTCAGAAGCCACATGTCTCGCCAAGCCATGCAGGGGATGCCCGTCCGCAACACTGGGAGCCCAAAGTCTGCAGTGAAGACCCGCCAAGCTTTCTTCCTTCACACTACATATTTCACAAAATTTGCTCGTCAGGTCTGCAAAAATACCCTCCGGCTGCGGCAGGCAGCGAGACGGCCGTTTGTTCCTATTAATTATGCTGCCATTAGGGCAGAATGTAAGATGCTTTTGAATTCTTAACCTTATGTGTTGTGCTTCTGACCATTTTCTCTCTTTCCCGCTCTCTTTTTTGTTTTGTTTTTATTTGCAATAAACATAAGTTCTTGTGTACAGCCTTTTATTTGGTTTATTTTTTTTTACATTGTTTTTGTCTGCTGCCATTTGCATTATGCCAACCTGAAAAGAAAACATTGCCACCTCTGCAGTTTTTTGCATAGTGTTCAGCAAAAGATGATGGGAGGTGGTCCTGTCCAGTGGGGCTTTGTGATGGAATTGTCTACATAGGTCTTATTGAGGCACTTTTACCTGGAAGGTAGTGTCACAATGTAATCCCCCAGGGTGGTGGTACAGTGAAACTCCATAACTGAGACATGCAGTCCAGTCTTACATGAATTCATTAGGTTTGAATAAAATTTGCCAATTTACACTAATGAAAAATTGTATGTCATTATAAATTGTATTGTTTTCCCATGAACCTTTTACAATTATCATACAATATTTTGGAAATTCACAGTGCTTTATAATAAACACTAGATTTATTAGAAGATTTAGCAAATTACAAATGAATTTTAAAGTCTTGGGTGAATTTTCTGAAAATACACATTTAGTTTTTACAAACTGATGTCCGAATTTGTTGTTGAGCATTCTTTCTATTGTTCAATTTGGTTTCCATTTCATAATCATATATCATATATATTTCAACAGACATTTACATGACTTAATTACTCTCATTTGCAATGCGTTCATTCTTGCTTATGTTTCATTTTTTTGTTAGAACAAAGGTCATATGTACCAATGAATCATGGATTATTCTGTTATTAACATGTACCCATAAATGTGTTCATAAGTTATGTGTTAACTCTGATTCTAGTCATGCTCCTTTCGGTCATGTTCCTGGCTAGCATGTCAGAGCCATGCAACTTTCCCTAAAGGATGAGAAGAAAACTTGCCGTCTGGCTTAACATGGGAAATAGAAAAGATATTCAGTAGATGTTTTTTCTTTGTCCTTGAGATAAGAAAGTTCTTATTACAGGATGTTCCCATTTTGATTTAAAGAGGGTATCCATAAAAGGAATAATGATTGAAAAACATTTTGTTCCTAAAGATAATTTTCAGCAGGATAGTTAAAGGCTTTAAAAATGTACAGGTAAAAGCTTTATAAGAGGAAAAGTGCTTTGTAAAGGGAGTGGAAATTGATAGTAATCTCTGAGTCCCATGGAGGGGAAATTTAGCTACATTAGATTCATATGTATTTGAGAATTTAGGCTTATGTTGAGGTTTCATTGCTAGCATTTCAGAGTTGAGGGATTTATGCTATTTTCACTTTTTACAATCAATTTTAAGGAACTGGAATATTTATATTCATCTAAAGTGCTTAGTTGATTTAAAACACATACATAATTTCTTAAGTAAGAGGAAAAACATTTGAGAAAGAAAATGAATGAAATTCTTTCATTAAAGTTGACTGGGATCCATTATCATCTTTGTTCCTATGAATGGAAAAGAAACCATCACCAACTAAATTGGCTGCTTGAGGAAGCTTCTGTTTCCTGTGGCTTTTCTGTTCATTACTCAGTGAATTTGCAAATTGTGTTTATTTTGATTATTCTTAAATGAAGTAGATTTTTCTGCTGCCTCATTTTATCCCCTCCCCCTCCCAATTGAAAGGCCATAGTGCTTTTAAAAAGTCAAGATTAAATTACCTGTATTTTATGTCTACAAACATAGATGTATAGTAATAATAAGAGTATAGTCACTTGTGATGAGATTCAAGGAACATTTTATTTTGTATTTAGCTTCATTGGGTTACATATAGAATTAGATTCTCAGAATAATTGATTTTACCTTGAGATTTAAAATGATAAAGCTTCAGCAGGCATCTGCTCAGTAATTTTAGCATATAATTGATTCTTGCATCATCTCCCTTATGTGCCCCTTATTGCATCCTCTTCAGCAGGCCCCTTGATGTTGGCTTGTTAGTGAGAAGATCAGGTGTTAATAACCTGGTGTCTGTAAGCAACCATGCCTCTGGTCCAGTGAGAATGTATGTGTATTTTGGGGTGTAAGCTTTTCTTGGTTTCTCAAAGGCAATGGTGACCCTGTTACTCCCCTCACAAAGTTAATTACTGTGGTGCAATATGAATGTTCTTTCAGATCAGGTAAAAGGTTGTAATTCTAAAGGTATTGATAAATTAAGAGCTCTAATTAATGCATTTTAGAATACTTCATCATAATATTGGAAAAGGGAAATAGTTTTCCCTGAGAACTTGAGCATCTTCTGCCGGGGTCCAACCCCAGCAGGTCCAGGGATCCCCAAAGTTGTGGACGGAGTCGGCGAAGAAGGAATGACACGGAGACAGCGTTCAGTTGATCAGCAGCCTAGCCAGGATCTCTAGCCAGGATCTCCAGCGAAGTTCTGGTTCGGTTTTCTCACTAGATTCTCCAGCCAGGTTCTCCAGCCAGGTTCTGTAGCCATGTTCCCTCGCTAGGTTCTCCAGCCAGGTTCTGTCCAGGTTCTCCAGCCAGGTTCAGTCACCAGGTTCTAGTCAGGTTCTCTTGCCATGTTCTATCCAGGTTCTGTAGCCAGGTTCTCTCGCTAGGTTCTGTCTCTAGGTTCTGTGGCCAGTTTCTGTCCAGGATCTTTTGCCATGTTCTCTCCAGCAAAGTTCTTCTGTCTCTAGGTTCTGTGTAGGTTCTGTGCCTAGGTTCTGTCTCTCCTCAGTTCTGTGTTCTAAGTTCTGTCTTCTAAGTTCTGACTCTTGCTGTCTTGTTACATCTGTATTTATACCAGTTGATTCAATCCTATCAATCTCTATTACAAAGGTTAGGGCGTTTCTTACCTCCATTCCAGGGAGTAAAGATTAAGTAGCTTAAGCATGATTGTTCGTAGTTAAAGTGATTAATTACCCGCCTGGCACTTAGTTGAGGGGTTTTATTCCCTCCCTAACTTCAGGGGAAAATCCCTACCTGGGGAAACAACCTTTCTCAGAGACCTTGGTTAAAACACATAGTGCCAAGAAGGTGAGCAAACATATTAAGAACAGTATGCCATATATGCCAGGTCCCTTGAAACAGCAAGCATGGACCGGCTCCCGGCAATCTTCCTCTTATAAGCACTATAAAAGTTGGCCTCTTCTTTAGCACCATCAGAACCAGAATTTATGGGGTTACAGACTGCATATGACTGAAAAAAAGGGGAGCTAAACTCTAAATTAGATGGGGGAGACCATACTCTTAATTGCGAGTTCTTAAAGGGGAATCTTTGTTTGCATATGTGTAAAATATCCCAAGGAAAACGTAAGGAGTAGAGTGGGGAGGGGAATTGGAAAGCTGAGAGAAAGGTGATGGGAAGGAGACTTCACCACTCACTTCATTCTTCCAGACTTTCAATTTTGAACCATAGGAATATAGTTTCTGTTTTAAATAATTTAAAAGCAAATAAGTATATTGTATGACCAACATGTTTATATATGATATATGGAAAATGATTTTTTAAAACCAGTTTCTCCACATATCTATGCATTTTAATAATATACTTTTATGTGTGAATATATAAGTTCATGCCCCAAATTACTAAAATTAGTAGAATACCTGAGCCAGTTCTACCATATAGATAGTGCTTATTAAAAATGCATTGCTATCCCAGGCAATGTGGCTCAGTGGTTGAGCATTGACCCATGAACCAAGAGGTCCCTGGTTCAATTCCTGGTCAGGGCACATGCCCAGGTTGCAGGCTTGATCCCCAGTAGGGAGGGTGCAGGAAGCAGCTAGTCGATGTTTCTCTTTGATGTTCCTATCTTTCTATTCTTCTTCCTCCCTCTCTAACATCAAGAAAAACATTTTTAAAAAATGCATTGCTAAACCCCAAACCAAGCATTGCATAAAAGTACTGTTTCTTTGATGAGATTTGCAGACTGATGTCATGGTTGTAACAGCATCAAGTTTCAGACAGACTAGCCTGTCCCTTCTCCCCTTTGATGCCCCTCCCCTCAGTAAAAAAGCCACGATGTGATGATGGGGTCCCTCCCTTGATACTGCCATCAGACATTAAGTTATCAGATGACTTCGTCAAAGCTCAGTAAAATCACCTGACACCAGCTGAGCACAGGGTTACTACTTGAGATTCAGGATCCTCGGAGACTGAGAAAGAAGTAGGTGCATTAGCAGCATCCTGTAGTTGAATGAAGCTGGGTCTTAGAGAAGTGGATCCAAAGGATTTACCTGCCACCTTTGTAGCTTGCATGGGTCAGTAAGTGGTTTCTGAGTTGACAGCATACCAGACTTGAATGACAGCAGTATACCCACAATGAAGTTCAAGAGGCACCTGGAGCCATATTTTTTTTTTCCTGTTCAAAGTTGCTAATTCAACTTGGAATTATCCCAAGGGCCCATACTCATAAGAAATTTGTAACATATTTTCTGGTTTTTTTCTAGAGATGGCTCAGCAAAAGTTATTACTTGTATAAACTTTTGTGAAATGTTAAGCTCTAACATTAGGAGAGAAGAGTTGGGTTTATTTTGGTATTTTTGGTAATAAAATTTGTTTCTGAATGGATACTTCAAATCTTTCTAAAGATTCAAAAGTGGTTACAAATCTCATCCTACTCTACAGAGGTAACTGCTGTTACCAGTATTTAAAGTATCCAGAGGTATTCTGGATTACTTTTTAAAAAAAATTTAATTAGGTTAATTAGCCTAAGAATTCCCAGGCTATTTCCAACCATTTTCTATTAGAAGTAATGTTGCAACAAATATCCCTACATAGATATTTCAAACTGATGAACATGCATTTTGAATTTTGAATTTTGATAGTTGCTACCCAGTTGCCCTTAGAAAAGTGCAATTTACACTCCCACCCACGGTGTCTAGAGATGCCTGTTTCTCGGACCTCACCAGCGATGTTACCCATCTTTCAAACACTTGGCTAGTTGACGGGTGACATGTGAGCTTGCATTTCTCTTTTTGAGCGAGATGGAAATACTTGCATATATTTGTACATTCCTTTTCTGTCAACTGTTTTTGCCCCTCACCTATTTTCTGTTGGATAAAAGTCTCGATTTGTGGGAACGTTTTATATTTTAAGGAAATTAGCTCATGTGTGATATGTGATGTAAATATTTCCCCGTTTTGTCTTTGACTTTGTTTATGATGTATTTGCCAAATAGATTTTTTAAACGTAGTTGAATTTATCTTTTTTAAAAATGGCACCTATATTTTGTATCTTGGTTAGAAATGCCTCTACAGTTCCTAAAAGGAAGTTCTGTGGATGGTTTTATTTTGACAGCGATCTCGAAAGCCCATGTGAGATGTTTTTGTGAATTTTAATTCGATGTTTACTTTTTGCAGTTTTTCCATTTCATTTATCCCCCTAATCTTAACAAAGCAGTTTTTAAAAATGGCCATCATTTTTAAATGTTTTTCCAGGTTTACCTCAAGAAGCTGTAGAGCATCCTCTTGGAAGCCAGTGACAGGTGCCTTGTGTTCAGTCCAGTAATTTGAGTGAGACGTGGAGTTTGCCCTGTCTCTGGGCAGATTCTGATTCCTTCTGGGTTCTTTGGGCATTTGTCAGATCGCTTTCTCTATCTGTGCACTTTTACTGCACACTAATGAATGATCTCTGTTTAAATAGTTAAGAGAATAATTTGGGAGTGAGGACTGACCCACACTGGCCTGTTCTTATTCGAAGATGCTAATTCAACTTGGAATTAGATTTTACTTAAACAACTCAAGTGCGAACCTGATAATCCTATGTTTATGATTCCCTCAGGGTGGAATGTATTTTTCCCATTTATATATCACTGAATGGCTGCCATTTTTATGTTAAACAGCAACTCGTTGTCTTAGCACCTTCCCAATTTCTTTATAGTTGAGACTGGTAATTCGTGTGGGATTAGTGAAATATGGATCCTTCTTAAGAGCTTTGACCCCCCATTCAGGTGCTCTGTAAATTGTCACTTGGAACATCACATAATTACTCCAACTAATTTAATGAGGAATTAAAAACATTAAAGTGAAATATCTTTGGGTATTGTGTTGGTGACCCCTTTGATGGATTTGTTGATTCTTGTCAGGGTGATGGTTATAGGGGAGTCCATCGATTGCAGCCAGACTGGTAGTTTTCCTTTGGGCCTTATAGACTGGAATAGAGCAAAGTTAGTCTAATCGCTAGTAATAGTGATATAGCGATTGCCTTTGTCTAGTGCACTGAGAAAATAAACAAGGGGATTCATTCAAGCTTTATTAATAGAAAGGAGAAATTTTTCTCTTGTCCTCATCCCAAATAGAACTTCAGAAGAATTAATAATATTAGGAAGGAATTATTATTTAGTACTAGTTCACAGTGATTTGACAGGTGTTTGATCGTTGTAGGATTTGGGCTGCTTTTTAATGTTTATTTAGATTACTCTTCCAAAGCATGGTGATTATATTTCCACCTGTATCTTCGCTATTAAAGATGGGTGAAAAGCAAAGCTTAGTAAGTCTCTCCCCAAAGGAAATCAGCTGAATAGTAGGAAAAGAAATGGAATCTTCATAGTTGTCAGTGGTTTCATAATTAGCCAGTGTTTGGGATACATATTCAGATTCCTATTTGAGGATCTCTGTAGTATGTACTTTGTCTATTTTCATATTTTTAAAATGCTATTTTCCCACCTTTTACTGTTGGTTATTAGAAAAAGAGTTTCCTTAGTGAAAGAGAGGGCCAGAGCTTATGAAAAAGTTAATTTTTTACCTTTAAATTACTTGAGGTTCCAGATAGAATTGTATGTTTTAATAGTGCAGAGAATTCCTATGGATGTCAAAGGAAATGTCTTGTATGTATGCCTAGAAATGTGGCCTCAGCCTGTGAGAGAGCAAATTCTCTAAATTGAGTCAGAAAGCCTGTAGGACATTTTTGTCCAATATTTGAAGGTGGGGAAAAGGCATGGATATAGAATCATACCTGCCAGAGCCACTCTGTTAAGCTTTATGACAATATATGCAAATTTAAACAACTTCAATACACTTTTTTGTCCCTTCAAACTCTATTTTTACAACAATTCTGGTATGAGAGGCAGCCGGGTTCCACATCTATTCTTCTGTCCTAATGACAGCTCATTAAAATGCAGAGTGTTCATGGTGTATGCTTTATTTTTCTCTGTCTGAAATGTCTGCGGCAGGGAATGAGGAGTGTGCTGTGAGCTCTTATCCACTATTATCTGTCCTCACAGAACCTTACTGATTCTGATTAGCAGATAAAATACTCTGCATACAGGTGACCTTTTAAATCTCAGCACGAATGTCATCAGGGTGGGATACGAAGGATAGGAAACCAGTGATAAAACCAAATGACCCATTTTCGTCCTTGTGAGGCTGTCATCTCACGGAATTGAGTGTCACCAAGCTAGACCAAGTGCTCCTCAGTGGAAAACCACTCCATGTGAGTCAGGGGTGGCCATGGGGGTAGTTACCTTCATCAGCTGTCACTTCTGCCTTCTGTGCCAGATTAATCTTCCATCAGGATGGACTCGGCCTCGTACTTCATGGAAAATTTTCTGCTTTAATGTAGAAGAGCCATGGCTAGAAAGGAAGCATATTCCCACTGCCTTTCAGATGGGCACGCACAGAATCTCAAATGTTTTTGTGAAACCCGAAAGGAAATGACAGGAATCTGGGGGATGTTTGGCACTGTTTTGCACTTGCACCTGTTGTTTCTGTGGTGTATGTAGTGTAGGAAGAGAAAACGGTCTCATGGGTTGTCTCCATGTTTCTTTCTCTCCTCAGATGCAGACAGACATGCTGAACTCTCTGGAAGTCCCCAGAAAAGCAAAAGCACCAGGAAACCTTTGGCATGTATCATTGGGTATTTAGGTGGGTACTTTCTAAGGGAGGGGAAAACCTCAACAATTTCTGTATCTTATAAATATTTGGCTACCCTAAATTGACATACCTCAACTAAATTCAAGCCTTTTGAATAGCTGAAATTGGATTCCTTTGTATGTAGAGTCCATTTATCTTGTTTTAGAAACTTTTTTTATTGCCAAAATATACACAACAGACACAATTATGGATTTGTTTACTTTTTCCAAAAAAGTCATTGAATAAAAATGCAGTGTACACTTAAGTATATAAATACAGATTAAGCAACAAAATGAAAATAAGAACCATTAAATTATTAATGAATGAATCGATGCCGGGGTCCAACCCCAGCGGGTCCAGGGGTTCCCAAAGGCATAGACGGAGTCGGCAAAGACTATCCACCCTCTTCCTACGGTGGAGTCCTATCCGTCCCAAGTGCGGGGGGCTTACCTAAGGGGTCCCTGTTCGGGCGCCAGATGGTGGGGTCCAACCCCAGCAGGTCCAGGGGTCCCCAAAGGTGTGGACGGAGTCGGTGAAGACTATGTCTTAAGATTGTAGATTTATTTTTTAAAAAAATATTTTTATTGATTTCAGAGAGGAAGGGAGAGGGAGAGAGAAATAGAAACATCATTGAGAGAGACTCATTGCTCTGCCACCCCTTGCACTCCCCCTACTGGGGATCAAGCCTGCAACCTGGGCATGTGCCCTGACCAGGAATTGAACCTTGACCTCCTGGTTCACAGGTCGATGCTCAATCACTGAGCAACATTGGCTGGTCTTAATATTATGATTTCGACCCTTCTAGTACTTCAGTCCACCTCACTCCTTCCCTTAAACAGAGAGAAATGGATTGGTTTATTTACCTTTTTTTAAAAAAGATAAAACTGATTTTTAAGCTACCTTAAAAAAATTATAGTTTTGATATGCCAATTAAGGTTACTTTGAAAGAGGAGCATTTGTATTGCTTTCTGAAAGTTGCCAAAGATGATGGTTCCATTTACATATTGAAATATCACAATTAACAACAGTATAAAAAATTGCTGGGCAATGACCTTTTTTCTTTTTGGCAAAGGTTTAAGATAATTTGCAAAATAATGGTTCCTAATATACTTAGAAGCTGTAATGGCATATTTCTAATATTCTTGCCTTTTCATTTTCTCAGTAAAAGTGAAATATGTAGTCAGAGTTGCACTGAACCTTATTGCTCTGTCAGAATTTGTAGTTAGGAAGTGTCCAAACTTAGATAGCCAGTCGTTTAAATCAAAGTGTAGCCTTGAGCCTGGCATATTATCTGGTCCTCACTGAGCATGCTAGCAGTCAGAAGCTCACAACTCCCTCTTTGATGTTAGTCTGCCACCTTATTTCTTGTTTTATTCCTCGGGGGCTAAAGAGTTGCTTTGATAGCCCCTGAGCATATCACATGGTTATCATAGGCATAGCCTAGGTCAGTGATGGCGAACCTTTTGAGCTCAGTGTGTCAGCATTTTGAAAAACCCTAACTTAACTCTGGTGCCGTGTCACATATAGAAAATTTTTGATATTTGCAGCCATAGTAAAACAAAGACTTATATTTTTGATATTTATTTTATGTATTTAAATGCCATTTAACAAAGAAAAATCAACCAAAAAAATGAGTTCTCTTGTCACCTCTGACACGCATGTCAAAGGTTCGCCATCACTGGCCTAGGTCATGGTGGTTAAATCCTTGAGGTTTGCTTTCTGTCTTTCTTTGCAAGACCTAATCCTAGAAGCCCCTTCTCACTTGTAAGGCAAAGTTTCTGATCATAGAAAATAGAATATAGCATTGCACATTAGTTGGCCTTTCCACAGGTAATTGTGTATCCCTCCTGTGGGTAAACTGGTGTGGGTTTCTCCCAGATATGCTCAAAGCTGAGTTGTCCTACTAGCTGGATTATATCCCTACATAACATATATCTGAGTATTTACTATGTTCAAGACACTGTACTTAGTGGTTTGGGAACACCCAGATGAGTAAGACCTTGCCTTCAAAAATCTTGGTCTACTGGGGAAAGTATACAGGTTAAGACAGTTAAAGATTCTGTAAAGGAATTACAGGTAGTATGCATGGGGCACTTGGAGGAAGGAGTAGCTATTTCTGATGAGTGTTAAGGCGGCCTACATGAAGAAAACGATATTTGATCTCAGCCTTGAAAGATATATAGGATTTGAAAAGCAGGAAAGTAATATTTTTTCCGTTATTAGGCTAAGAGAACCAGGTAAACAAAGGCCTCAGTATCAGTAATAGACTGAGGTCCTTAAATTCCAATTCCTACAGTATTGCAATTGCTGTCCCTCTACTCTGTCCAAAAAGTAAATGAGTGGTTCTGGGCTGTGTGCCTGACAACAACATGCTTCACTTAAACACACATATACCACGTGCACATTATAGTTTTGTGATACATCCTCTTTTCTTCTGCTGCTTTTTGACTCGAGTATTTGGAGTTTGGTGTCAGATTTCATGTATATCAATATGTTCTGGGCTGGGAGTGATTGGCCCTGGTTCCCATACCCTGGGTGAAAAACCAGAGGAGGAACCCTGTTTTTCAGAAAACTCTATGCACCAGATATGGGTACTTGCTAAGTTCTGGTTTGATAGAACACGGAGGTGGTTTTTCTCTGAGGCTACCTCTCCAGATAGTTTTTGGATTGCTAATACCTTGAAGAGTCAGATGCCTTATTATTCCCTTAGTAGAGCTTGTATTTAAGTGACCTTCTATGGTGTTTTTTTTTTTCCTTTTCTTTCTTTTTCTTGCCTGTACTGACAACATGAAGCTAGAGCTTTAGTTAGCAGGAAAGAACCAGCTCACTTTTGATAAGGAAAGCAGTCATGGTAACAGCACTTGAAGCTGATTAATTATGCCAAGTCCTTGGGAAAACAGGCTGGCTCCTAAAGAACTGACTCTCAGCTCATTAAGAAATAAGATGTGTGCCTATTAACCAGGGAAGTTCCACACAGAGATTTTTTATACCATGTTCTGAGTTGAGAAACCTTTTTTTCCCTCTGTCAGAGATCCATCCTTCGAAGAAACCTAATGTAATTCGATCTACACCAACTCTACAAACTCCCACTACCAAGCGGATGCTGACCACCCCCAATCACACGACTCTGAGCATTTTGGGGAAAAGAAACTACAGTCATCACAATGGCCTGGGTGGTAAGTAAGCCCAGAAATGCAGGGGCTGTTCTGATATGCCAGGGCCCCTGGCCACTGCTAGGCATCATCTGCCAAGTCTAAGAATGTATAACTGCAAGTGTGAGGGGAGTAAGAGGGAAGGCGGCCACGTGCCCTGGTGAAGACATTTCCCAGGTGCTGTTTCTCTTCGGGAGGAACGTTTTTGCTCCCACTTCCTCTTAGGAGGCTTGTTCGGAGATGAAGTGTGTATTTAGCAGGTTGCCTCTGCCGGGTAATAATGTTCTTGCTGGGATGCACACTCACTGCTCATTTATATTTCCTTGAGCAGAAGGGATGATTTCGCCTTCTGTCTGAGACAGCAGTGCTCTCTGGGGTTCTTCAGCCTTCCGTGGGTTGTTCGGAATTTGACATTTGTCCCCTACTTCTTTCATCTTGTAATTGTTTTTAATTGCTCAAGAGTACTGTAAGTCATGAAAGGAACTGCCTGAGTGATGCCCTAAATACAGAAATAATCATTTGTTTCTAATGGAAAAACAGAACTATCACCTCTTATCCAAAGTACTTCTCCTGGGCCTGGCCATATGATTTCAGGTGGAATTGAATTATGTTCCCAGTGGAACTATAGAGCATCCAGGCAATATGTAGTGTTCATTTCAATAGTCCTGGAGTTTGAAACTGTCTTGATTGTTTAAATGTTGGCATTTATTTATGAATTAAACCCTTTCTAGGCTTTGCATGTCTTATGGAACACTAATTTCCTTCAGTGACAATACATTTTTTATAATGAGGCACTAGATCAAGGATGCAAAATTGACCTTCTAGTAATAATTTTCCGTGGTGTTCTTTTTTCCCCCAGCATGACTTTTGATGGTCATAATGATGTCAAAATGAATAAAAATTTGAGGGTGAGGAGTTTAGTTTGCATTTATAGGCTTATCAATTGTTATAGATATGGCTTTCAAGAATTCAGCTACACAGGAATCTTGCAGAAACAACTTCCTCGCTAATGAGAGCACTGGCCATCATTGCTACAATAGGCCTAATGTCTAGACACCGGAAGACCAGGGAATGATTATGTCAAAATGTGGAGATGGGATTTCTTTCCAGCGTTTCCTTGCCCACAGCCTGGGGCCCTTGCATTCAGGCATAAATGGAATCAGGAATCTTTCCTTTTCATCTCACCACTTCCCTGGCCTCTCTAGGCTTATAGTCTTACTGCAGAAAGCAAAAAGTAAGTTCTGGTTATTTGATATGTACATATCAATGAGTGTATATACATATATACATATTTTCTTTATGGAGAAAAGTATCTCTTGGTCATATACCCGTTGGTCATGGTCATTTGGGTCTCAGTCCTGCATTTGCTCCTTCCTTGAATCACAGGTAACTGTCTCCGTGGGAATTGTAGGAAAAACAAAACTACTTGTAGTGTTACCTCTCTATGGCTGTCGTCCCATTTCCTTCTGAGTGAATGCTGCTACAGGTCGTCGTTTCTCTCAACAGGAGGAATGGACAGGGCATATGAGGAAGCCCGGGTGTTATGTTGACTGAGACCTTCAGCCTTATGGAGGAAGGGACACTTGCTGCGTTTTCTGAGGACCTAGCTGTTGAGACACTTTTCTTTAAGACCTGTTGGTCTTTGCTCTCCTGTCCTGGTACAGAGAGGAAGGCTGAGGACGTGCTTTACCTGTGCTGTCTCCTTTGATTCACACAACAGAAGGCGCCAGGATGTCAGGGAGTTTTACTGTTTTGCATAACATTTAACTCTCTCTGCCTAGCACAGTGCCTGGAAAGTGGTAGGCACTCAATAAATGTTAATTGAATAAAGGAAAGCGATTGAGAAAACGAGACCTAGAGAGATGAGTTAAAGTTTTCACAATTACCAGGTACTACATAAATAGATTGGGATTTCCCTGCAGGTGTGACTGGTATCAGAGTCTGTTCTTTTGACCACTGTTATAAAATAAAGTTGTGGCTCCCAACTGCACTGTATTTGTCAGCAAAATAAAAACTACATAAGTTATTTTAGCAGCTAATACAAAAATCAATATGACAGATACGGAGGGACAAAAGAGGTAAATGGGGAACATGGTGTTGGTGGTGGTAGCATAGGAAGCAGCCACCATCCCCAAGGTTAGGAGAGTAGAAGGAAGAAGCTGGGGTTATCACAAGGTAGAAAGAAGCTCAAGAGGGCCATGAGGAGCTGGAACTCAGAGCCCTCTAGAGGACGCTGTTCTGTCGGCGCTGGCATCTGCCAGGTGTATGAGGCTGGTTCTGGGCATGTGAAGTAAAGCTAGGAACTGGAGCTGCTATTGGAGTGATGCAGACAGGAAGAGGTAAAAGTAAAAACCAGTCTCTTCTCCATCCTTAAGCCTTTCGTGCTCCCTCTAGCACCCCCTACTGGTGTGACAGGGAACCTGGTGGTTGAGGAGAAATGTGTTTGCAGAGTCCCAGCCCCAGCATCACTACTACCTAGCACAGTGCCTGGAACTTAGTAGGAGCTCAATAGATGTTAATTGAACAGAAGTGAGTTTAGATGGATGGATGTGGAGCTGAGAGACGAGTGTAGCAGAAATACACATTTTGGAAAATGTCCCCATTTTTATATTTCCGGTGGACCTTTTTCTTGGGATAATGGGTCTGTTTCTTATTTCTTTGGGATATGGAATGCTGACTAACCTGAATTTACAAGGTGACCTCAAAATACCAGAACAAATGTTAGGCTAATAGTGCGTTTTCATGGGATAGTTGATACTGTCATATACTGGAGTTGATAGATACAAACTCATGGGGAAGCCAGGCCCTGTGTGATCCAATAATAAAGTCAATTAGCATTGCCACTTAATGATCAGCAAGTCAGACAGATGATCACACCAAACAGGATTTTGATGGGAAGAACTAACTTGATGAAACGAAACCTGATCGTACTGAAATATCCATGTCTCTCCGCCTCAGGGCTTCCTGGCCCCTTCTCAGTGGCTTGCCTCCTTCACTCACCCACTGTCTTTAGGTGGAGGTTCTAGATGATGGGAAGAGTCTGGATTTCTGCTGGCAGAAAGGATTTACCTGACATTTTAAAAGAAAATGATGTTCAGCGTCTCATTGTCTTCCTGAAAGTCACTGTCTTCCACCTGCCCTGGCCCGGCCCTATAAAGGCCTTGGTGTACAGGTGACTGGGAGCCAGCACTCGGTGTGCCCTGCAAGCTTAACCACGGCACCGGGCGCACGCAGACTCGGTGCCTACCTCACAGACTTCAGCTCGGAGGGTGAAGACAAAATTTGCGCGCATAAGGAGCCCCTTGCTGGGGGTCAGTAATGATAAAAAGTGTGAAATTTCAACATATAGACCTACCTAGTACCTTGTCAGTCCCTACACTTTAGTACACCTCCACCTCCACGCCCCCCCCCTCCCCCAGCTGTGGTCCAGTGGTGTGCCACATGCAGTCACGGTGCTTTCCAAATCCTGTCCCTCCTTTTCAGACTTACAGATGCTTTGGTGACATTTTTATTGCCAGCAAACCAACCCACCTGCCTCCTTGGTTAGCTCCAAGTGGCTGTGAGTGGAGAAGGTCCTGAGAGCAGGATGGAGGAGACGTAACTGGAAAGCCTTTCTGTGTCCAGGAGCCCAAAGAAAGGGCAGCAGTGGGAAGGAGGCGGTGCCTGGACATCCGAGCGTTTGCAGTCAGATGGGATTCATTGCTGACATCTCTGATTATTTCCTGTGTGGCCTTGGATGAATCACTTGGTTTCTTTAAACCTGTTTTTTTCCTCTGTGAAGCACAGAATTTGTTTGCCTTAGGGAAGTGTTATAATGATTAAAAATTCTTCACTTACTTTTATATGACTTGATTTTGTAAACACTTCATGAGCTAAGTGTTATAACCTGCATTTTTTTTATTTGTTATTTTATTTTTTAAAAAGTATTTTTATTGATTTCAAAGAGGAAAGAAGAGGGAGAGAGAGGTAGAAACATCAATGATGAAAGAGAATCATTGATCGACTGCCTCCTGCACGCCCCACACTGGGGATCGAGCCCGCAAACTGGGTTTATGTCCTGGACCGGAATCAAACCCAGGACCCTTCAGACCACAGGCCCACGCTCTATCCACTGAGCCAAACCAGTTAAGTCTATTTGTTATTTTAAAATTTTTTATTTTTTAGTTACACTAGTGATTAGACTTTTAAGCCTAACTTGTGAAGTGATCACCCTTATAGGTCTAGTACCCATCTGGAACTGGCATTTTAATCATGAAAAAACTGAAAAAGGCTCAGAGAAATTAAGGGATTTGCCCAAAGTCACACGGCTAGCCAGTAGCAGAGATGAGATTGAGACTTCAAGGCCGGTGTTGTTTCCCCTGGGCCAATAAGGACCCAGATTGGTGTGTTGAGTGCAGCATGTACCTGAGAGGTGTTTAGTTTTCTGTGTGTAGGAGATGGGTGTGTTTGTGAATATAGAGAGGAAAGTAGAAGGTGTTTTTCTTTGTTCAGATTGTAAAGTATAAGCCATCATCTTATATAATAAAAGGCTAATGTGCAAATCAACCAAACAGTGGAACGGCCGGTTGCTATGACACGCACTGACCACTAGGGAGCAGACGCTCAATGCAGGAGCTGCACCCTGGTGGTCAGTGCGCTCCCACACGGGGAGCACCACTCAGCCAGAAGCCAGGCTCATGGCTGGCAAGTGCAGTGGCAGTGGCAGGAGCCTCTCCCGCCTCCACAGCGGTGCTAAGGATGTCCAACTGCTGGTTGGGCCCACTCTCCCCAGGGAGTGGGGAGCAGGCCTAAGCCGGCAGTCGCATACCCTGAGGGCTCCCGGACTGTGAGAGGGCACAGGCTGGGCTAAGGGGACCCCTCCAAGTGCACAAATTTTGAGCACTGGGCCTCTAGTTGTCTAATAAAAGCCTTCACCTTCTTTTCCTGCCTCTCTGAAACTCTTCTGCCCATATTATACCCCCTCCTTTTTTTGGAACTTAGGGCATAGAAGCTATATTAGTTTCAGAGAGAGGAAAGAAAAAAGG